GTTAAGTTCGCAGCCGCAGCATGGCTCGATGAGTAAGTGGTGTGTAGGTCTGCACCTGGGATCCAAACCTGCAAACTGTGGGCCGCCACCAGGCCAGCATCGTGTTTTTTAAGATATGAAATAAACTGAACTCTTCAAGGAATGCTTGAAGAATACTGTAAATATAATAGAAAAGGCAAAAAAAAAACCAAAATACAAATAATATTAGAATAATCAAATTGCCAGACTAACAGACAGTAAGAGATAATAACAGGAATCTAAAGACAACACACAGTCCATCTATCACACAGGAGCCGTTCTGCATTACAACTTATTGAGAGGCACTAGAGCACAAGTGGTTAAGGACACAGAGCCTGGGTTCACATCGCCTCTGAAATCCTCAATCTGCCACTAACTGCCCAGGACCTGAGAGCACATTTAATCTCTGCTTACCCCCGTTTCCTCACCTATAAAATGATGGCAACAACTATAATTACCCCAAAGACTTGTCGTAAGGATAAAATTTTTGTTAAAATATCTAATGCAATAAAGTATATATGTACATGCAAAGACTCTTCACCACAGCATTATTCAAGCCTTTGCTATCAAGATTATTTCTGACCCCTACTTCACCCTCCTCAATACACAAGAAATACTAGAATAGTCAAAAAGAAACTTCTTGCAACCAATTGCTCTTACATTTAATTTCTAAATAGTCCAAGCTTGTTAGTCAGAAATATTTTTAGAAACATTTTCAAATTGCCACCATAAAGTATCGCCTACGTATATGAAACTACATGTTATTCCCTAAATAGTCCACTCATTCTTTTATGCTTCCTTTTCTTTCTCTCAAAAGTACCTATTCTCCGTAATTAGATAGCAGTGATAGTTGCACAACTCTGTGAATATACTAAAAACACTGAATTGTACACTTGATGAATTTTATGGTATGTAAATTATATTTGAAAATATGTGCGTGTGGTGGTTGCCCGGTCAGCTCAGTCGGTAGAGCATGAGACTCTTAAAATATGTGCGTGTGTGTATCTGAAATGATCTGTCACTGTAAGACAAAACTCTCAGCTTCTGTGTAAGTCCCTCTTCATCTTCATATACTGAGGGCAGGCAAACATTTTTTAGACAGAATACAAAAAGCAGTAACTATAAAAAGAAATAGTTAATAAATTAGGTCTCACTCAAATTAGAAACTATTCTTCAAAAGATCCCATTAGGAAAGGTAAAAAGGATAACCAAAGACAGACTGGAAGAAGGTATTTGCAATACATATATCTGACAAAGGACTTGTACCCAAAATATATTAAAAAATAGATGTAATAATAAAAGACAAACCATTCAATAAAATAACAGGCAAAGACTTGAATAGGCACTTCACTCAAAATAGGATATTCAAATAGCCATAAGCACATGAAAACGTGCTCAACGTCATTACTCACCAGGGAAACAAAAAAGCCACAATGAGATACTACACATCCACCAAAATGGCTAAAATTAAAAATATCAATAGAGAGAGCAACTAAAACTCTCATCTACTGCTTGTGGGAACATAAAATGATACAACCAATCTGAAGAAGAGTCTGGTAGTTTCTAAAGCTAAGTATGCCCTACTGTATGACTCAGCATTTCCACTCATAGATACCCAGCCAAGAGAAATGAGTATATGCATGCAATCAGAAGACATGTACAAGAATGTACACAGCGCAGCTTGATTAGTAACAGCCAAAGACTGGAAACAACCCAAACGCCCATCAGCATGAGAATGGATAAACTGTGGTTTATTTGTTCAATGGAATACTCCTCAGCAATTTTTAAAAGATGATTGGTTTATACAACAACATGGACAAATCTCACTGATATTTTGTTAAGTGAAAAAAGCCAGACACAAGAGTTCACATAACTAAACTGGGATGATAAAAATCATAAGATGGCCTGGGGGAAAGCTTAGAGGATGAGAAAAGGGACAGACTGGAAAGGAACGTTAGGAAATCTTGTTTTACTGAAAACATTCCTCATCAGGGTGGTGGTTACACAGGTGCACACACACATATAAAACAAATCTTTAAAGGGTTGAACACAAGTGTACTATGGACACTTTAACGTATATTATGTTTTGTTATATCTAAAAAAATTCTTTTTTTCAAAAAAAAATAAGAAACTTGCCCAAAACATCACCTCATCACCTCCTCTCTATAGTCAACTCCCGCTCACCTTCTACTACGCTTTCCCAGCCCCCATGACAGCCAATTTAATTGATCCCTAATCTACATTTCCAGAGAACGTTTTATAGGTCACTATTAAAGCACTTAAAGCATTTCATTATTTAAATCTATTTAGATGCGTATAAACTTAAAGAACGCATGCTTCCTGTCTTTCTTATGCACCTTGCTTCCAAAATGCCAAGCACAGTGCCACGTACTGCAGACATCAATAAATGTTTTCTTCATATAATGATTGCTCTCACTTATACAAAAATGCCTCACTAAACCAAACCCCTTAACTTTTGTCTTTTAAAGACAATTTCTTTCCTCTCCTCCAATGAAAATCTTCTACAGCTTCTATAAAGAGGATTTGAGGGGAACACCCATTTGTACAGGCTTTGAAATTAAGTGGCACATCATAATATTATAACCAGAACTGCTGCCTTAAAGAGAAACATATGAAAATACACACAATGAGAAAGTAAATGATTCTTTTACTTTAACAACAATAATATCTTACATTTACTGGACACATACTGTACTATTCTGTTAGGTAACTAGCAATACCAATTACACATTAGACAGGAAGTTAAAAAAGCTGTCTGAGGTCACACGTGTCTAACAAATGTCGAAGTCAGGATCTACAGGATCACTACAGGAAAAACTAAGGTGTTAAAGTTATAGGATCCACATGCCAACAGAAAGGTCAACGAAACCAAAGAAAGAAAAAAGAAATCCAAACAGTTAGATGTATGAAAAGATGCCCAACTTAACTCATAATGAAAGAAAAGCAAATTAAAACTACATTAGGGTGCAATTTCTCACCTACTGGATAGAGAAAAATCCAAAAGTGTGACAATACCCTCTTCGCAAGGCTGTGGAGAAGGTAGACATTCTAATATTGCTGAAGAGAGCACAATCCCTAAGGAGGGCAGCTTGACAATGTTTATCCAAATTACCAATGCTTATACAGCCTTTGGTTCACCCACTCCTAACAGCTGTGGGAAATCTTTCCTACATACGTAATTATACATGTACAAGATGCCATACATGCAAAGACTCTTCACTGCAGCACTATGTGTACAGTCATGCGCTACATAACGAGGTTTCAGTCAAAGACAGACTGCACAGACAATAGTAGTCTCATAAAATTAGTGCCAAATAGCCTCGGTGTGTAGTAGCCTATACCACCTAAGGTTTGTGTGAGTACACTCTAAGGTGTGGACATGATGATGAAACCACCTAACGATGAACTTCTCAGAATATACCCATTGTTAAGTGATGCATGACTGCAACAGCAAAAGACTAGAAAAAATCCAAGTGTCCATATAAGGTTGGTGAAATAAACTGCTACAGCAACACAATGGAATACCATGAAGCTATTAAAAAAAGAGAGGGGCACACCCAGTGGCACAGCAGTTAAGTGAGCACGTTCCGCTTCAGCGGCCCAGGGTTTGCTGGTTCGGATCCCAGGTGCGGACATGGCACTGCTTGGCAAGCCATGCTGTGGCAGGCGTCCCACATATAAAGTAGAGGAAGATGGGCACGATGTTAGCTCAGGGCCAGTCTTCCTCAGCAAAAAGAGGAGGGCTGGCGGCAGATGTTAGCCCAGGGCTAATCTTCAAGAAAAAAAAAGAAAGAAAGAAAAGAAAAAAAAGAATATTCTCTATGAACAGATATGGAAAGATCTCCAGTATAAAGAATGTTAAAAAAGCAGGGTGCACATAACACACAATACAAGACGTTAATAATGGAGGAAACTTAGTATAGGGAATATGGAAACTCTATAATCTTTGTAATATTTCTAAGTCTACAACTGCTCTAAAATTAAAAGTTTATTAAAAAAAAGCAAGGTACAAACAGTACATAGTCTACTAGATTTTTGCGTAAGAAGGGAAGGAGAATGAGACTACATATTTATTTGCTTGTAGTTCCATAAAGAAATACTAGAACAATTTACTAGAAATGAATGACAATGGCTATATATTTGGGGGAGAGAGAATAAGGGAACAAGGAGTAAGATGTTTCGATGTAAAGTACTTCTTTATAATTTCTTAACTTGGTAATGATCGTCTTTTCAAAAGAAAAATTAAGTGATTTTAAAAAGCAACTCCAGAAGAATCATCTCATTCTCTAATGAATTGCAAGGGATGTTTCCAGCATAGTATTTACCCACCAGTAGGTATTAGGGGTTTAACAACTATTAAACTTCTTTAAAACACAAACTTTTACTCTCCATTGTATATGTTTCTCATAATTACAAACCAAATATTTTGTTTAATCTTTAACAAAGATAAACAGAAAAATGCTTTTTGTGGAAAACTTGCTCTGTATCCGAATTACCCAGAAAACATGTACTTGACACAGTGATTTACAACAAAGCACTGTAACATGACCTCAAAACTGAGTAAAAGAAATTAAAGCCCTCAATGATCCATAATTTCATTTTTTCATATAATTAGTATTGTTTGCTAATAAAAATGCTGAAACATTTGAAAGTGAGAGAACAGAATCAGACAACAAGGTATTAAACAACAGCCAACCAATTTAAAAGACATGCATTTAAATGGTCTAGCCTCTAGCTATATTCAAGACCCCTGACGGTGACTTTTTTCCTATTCTCCAAATTTTAAAAGTGAATTAAATTATCTTCACCTCTATCTGTTTTTGAAACTGCACGCATCTACAGGAATGTCAAAACAAATGGCTCTTTTAAAAATTTTTAGAAGGGCAAAAGTACGCCCATTAAGAAACATGTCAACTTAAGTTGAAATTAAAAAACAAAAAACTTACATACACTTAACTTACCTTGAAAGGTTTGTCTCCACTGTGTGTCAGCATGTGCCTCTGTAACCAACTCTGACTGGTTGACGGAGTGTTATATACTTTACAACCTTTCCATAAGCAAACAAATACCTGTTAAAAGAAGAGCCATAATAATTTTCATCACTTATTTCAAAGAGTTTTATTCCTTGTAAGCGCAAAGAACATGCTGAAAGTCTTCAATTGACAAAAAGAGCCATTTAATGTCTGAGCCAATCAAAATGCTTAACGTAGGTAGTTAAACTTTCTAAACATCCTGCATGGGAGGCACAGTTCTAACCCTTCCCCCTTAAGGCTGCTGCCCGGTCCCTCAACAAGGAACTGACACACCATTCCCAAAGTGCCCTTCAGAAGGAAATATACACATTATTAACAATATATCCTTAGCCACTGGGACTATGGACTATTATTTACATTTTTGTACTTAGTGCATGGGAAAAAAGTATGTATTAATTGCAAATATCAGGAAAATATACAAAGAAACAATGAAAATAAATCAAAATAGTAAAATGTCAATTAGTAGATACTGATAGTTTCATCTTCAAAAATGAGTAACACAATTAAACTACCAAGTCACAATTTTTCTGCTCTTGACTGCCTATTCTCACAAGCATACTATTTATTTTTATGTTGTCCTTTTCATTAAAAATGATTTCCAATGATCTTGATTATAAAGCAAAACAACACAAAATGTTAAATTATTATAGTTTCAAAAGCAACGGGCACAACTCTATCATCATATTAGATCCATGTTCTTGGATTCAGGCAACTTAGTATGACTGGGTTTGGAACGCACAATCTAAGAAGTGACAATCTCATCTTTATCATCTTCCTACTAGTCAGAGACCAGTTTCCTGATTATACTTCCATCAAACTGAACACTGAAAACTGATCCCCAACATCAGCAGAAGTACAGATCTATTACAATGACTACCTTCAAAGAAGCACTTATGTTCTTTTCTAAGGTAAGAACAATTATAAATAGAGCCACACTTTAAAGACTATAATGTACTACATTTAGAACAGAATAGAGAGACACACAGAACTGAAGAAACATTCATTAAATGGTTTAAAATAAAATTAAAAGACTAGGGCCGGCCCGGTGGCGCAGCAGTTAAGTCACACATTCTGCTTGGCAGCCCAGGATTCATCGCCGGTTCAGATCCTGGGGGCGGATGCACCGCTTGTCAAGCCATGCTGTGGCAGGCGTCCCACATAAAACAGAAAGATGGGCACGGATGTTAGCTCAGGGCTAATCTTCCTCAAAAAAAAAAAAGACTAGAAAAACCGGCAGTCTAAAATAGCTGAGTTCAATTTTTACTCAAAACTAAAACCAGGGGCCGGCCTGGTGGCTGAGCAGTTAAGTTCGCACCCTCCACTTCGGCGGCCCAGGGTTTCGCCAGTTCGGATCCTGGGCGCGGACACGGCACCACTTATCAGGCCATGCTGAGGCAGCATCCTCCATGCCACAGCTAGAGGACCCACAACTAAAAATACACAACTATGTACCGGGGGGCTTTAAAAAAGAAAAAACCAAAACCATTTTACATCAGATAGGTCTAACAAGGCAACATCACCATTGCTATTTAACAGACTGCTCAAAGCTCTTGCATGTTCTCATTCCACAACACATCTGCTAGCTTCTTTTAGTTAAACAGATATAGAATAACATCTCCTCTTTCACACTTAAAATTCCTGACCCTAGTATATGTTTATAAAATGATTCCTGAAGTTTCCAGAATTGAAAGCTACTTTTAAACAACTCCAGAAGAGAAAAAAAAATTTGAAAAGCTACACCTATGTACTGTGGAAATTAATTCAATGTTTGACAATCACATCCAGATAACCAGCACTACCTATCAATTTCCTGACTCAAGACTATTAGACTCTCAGAGTCATAAATATTCAAACCAAGTAAGAAAAGGGAATCAGAGGCTGGTTTAAAATTCTCTGACAAGTCATATCAAATAAACAGAAACGGCTTAAAGCAAGTATTTGGGAACAAAATTAATGTCACTTATGTAATAATTTTTATAACAGTGAAGAATTCTGTTGATGTAACTCTTAAGTGAGCCCTGTGCTTAGGTACTCTCAAAGAAACAAATCAAATACATACTCAAATCGTGCCCCACCTAACATTACCAAACCACTACTACCCTTCTAATTTTTTTTCTATGAATAAACATGAGTATGGAGGCGACAGCAGACCCTGTAATCCCGTCATACAGAGCCTTAATTAGTGAGGAGGTGTGCTCTAGACTCTAGTGGAATAATGCCAAGTATCACTATTAGGGCAACATCTTCAGGTTCAAAGAAAAACCATAACCTTCAATCTAGCGAATTTTGTAGGAAATGAAATAAGTATAAAGAGAACAAAGCTAACTATGTTTAGCTATATTTGGGTGAAATATTTGAAAACTAATTCTAGGGGAGGACGTTCAACTTGCACAAGGGTGGTCTCGACACCCAAAACAGGCACTAAAAATTCACATGAAAGATCCACAAAAACCACAAAACTGTTAAGTAAAATTTCCTTTCCTAATCTTTATCAGGAAGACCCTTTGATGAAATAGTTTAAAATCTGACAAAAGGGTCTTTTTCTTCAAAGCTGAAGACTCTGTAGATGCACAATATCTGAAAAACATTTTTATACCCTATTTTTAGAAACTTTCACATAGCAAAAGTTAACCCTGAAAACCAAATACTATAGGAATTCAACCCAAATTTGGAAGGAATTATTCAAAAATAAAATGTCATGGTTCCACTATACCATCTTAAATGAATTAAGATCTAGCTATGTTAATTAGAATACTGAGGCACAGAGGTTTATAGTCCAAGCTCTCATGATACATAGAGACTTACGGCCTATTAGGCTGTGTTAGGCGTAACAGAAACAGAACCCAAGTAGATCGCCTGAATTCCACCCAGCTCTTTCACGCTTTGTAGCTATGCAATCCTAAAAGAATCATTTGTCTTAAGTCCCTGTTTCCTTTTTCATCAAATAGACACTATGAGCACACATCTGATAACTCCAAAACACGATGAGGACGTAAGATAATACATTCTCTCAGAAAGACTAGTTAACACAAAACTTGGATGATATTAGACACTGGAGGTGCCTTCTCAAAATAACCGCCATCAGATTTTTCTGCCAGACTATCCAAGAAAAAAAGAAAAACACAACACACAGCCATTAAAAGAATTATTTCTGGACTACCAAATAATCTTCAAATTTACAATGACCTCACTTATAAGATGTAGAGGTCTAAACGTTCAGTGTTACAGGGAGGTTTGGGCCTTCTGTTGAGAACTCTTCTAGAAAAACTTACTCACTACCACGTGAATAGGTCAGCTCTACCTTCAAGGATCTCCAAAATTCCCAAAAAGAAGGCTGGTACAAACCTGGAAACCAAGGGTAGTCTTAGTCTTCACCTTGATCAATTGCCTTGAAGAAATGTATCCGTGTATTTATCTCAATGCATGCATGACCTACATCCACAACAGCTTGTATGACAGTACAGATAAATGCACTTACACTTATCTGGTCACTAACATCTCACACCTGAAGTGCGTAAATGAATCCATCAAAATTTTCTGTAAGTAGGGGCCGGCCCCGAAGCCAAGTGGTTAAGTTCGTGTGCTCCGCTTTGGCGGCCTAGGGTTTCACTGGTTCAGATCCTGGGCGCAGACATGGTACCGCTCATCAGGCCATGTTGAGGGGGCATCGCACATGCCACAACTAGAAGGACCCACAACTAAAATATACAACTATGTACTGGGGGGATTTGGGGAGAAAAAGCAATAAAAAAAAAATTTCTCTAAGTAAATTTAAAACTCCACTGCAAAAGAATATAATGTAATCTGACAGAGTCTAAGGATGCCTAAGTCTGTTATTATTACTGGTAAAGTAAATGAAAATCAGCCAAATGCAGAGCCAGTAAGCAGTAACTTATATGACACAAACACACACACGCGTGTTTTACTAAGAAATTAGATTCCTTCTACAGTAAAATGATACAAAAAAATTTTATATAAAGAGACACACCATCTAAAGTTAGGAAGGGGTTGGATAATTTTATGATCCCTTTAAGCTCTAATATTTCTTAGGAAAAAACCAGCTCAGGGACGCCCCTCGTGGTCTATTGGTTAAACTCAGCGCACTCCACTTCAGTGGCCCGGGTTTGGTTCCTGGTCACAGACCTACACCACTCGACAGCAGCCATGTTGAAGTGGCAATCCACATACAAATTAGAGGAAGATTGGCACAAATGTTAGCTCAGGGCAAATCTTCCTCAGCAAAAAAAAAAACAAAAAACAAAAAACAAAAAACCAGCTCATTTCCTTTACAAAATGTGAACATACAAAAGAAGTAAAATATTTTTTATATCTAATTATTCTGTCTCAAATCAGGTGACTCTCAGGGTCTAAAATGACAGCTTTAATTTTGTAATCCTATTATTTTTAACCATATTAAATGTATTAACATTTTCAATTTCCTCTGTTAAAAGACATTTAATAAAAGAGGAAAAAAATATTCAATAAGACACTCAAATTACAAAAATAAAATATTCCTTATTTATTGCAACAGATATGACCAATTTCATGTTGTGTTCAGGAGACACCAGATTGACAATCAAAACTCAAACAGACCCCCTGACTGATTTCACTTCCTAGCAGCATTCCACTTTAACCCTGAGACTCTACAAATGTCATTTTATATAAAATAAAGGTAACCGGCCTCATTCAAGTCTTCAAAGAATTAACCTATCATCCTCCAAAATCTTCCTCTGGCCCTCTCCCCTCAAACACACCAAAGAAAATATACAAAAGAAAACTTAATAAAATATCATGTAAAATAACTCCTGCATCCAGAAACATGAACAGATTTCTTTCTGGCAATTGTTTTTAAAGTGAGAAATAGTTAAGATAGAAAGAAGAGAATACTAATGGATCTTATTGAACCACTGAAACCCTACAAGACGAAGTTCCCTGCCTACCGAGACTTAGAGGTATATATTAAGAGGACACTGGGACTTGAAATTTGATTAGTACAATAGCTCAGTCTAGTTTTTGAATCCAGTCATGCACGGAAGTATGGACCCAAGAACACAATTCTATTATATTTAACAAAAAATGTTAAAAAAAATTTTTTTGCCTGTTTTTATTTTTTAAACAGGAGAAAGAACTCATGTTTTTTTAATAAAAAGATATATTCATGGGGCCTGCCCCATGGCCTAGTGGTTAAGTTCGGAATGCTCTGCTTCGGCGGCCCGGGTTCACCGGTTCAGATCCGGGATGCAGACTTAGAACACTCGTCAGCCATGCTGTGGCGACAACCCACATATAAAACAGAAGACGACTGGCACAGAGGTTAGCTCAGGGCCACTCCTCCTTACACAAAAAAAGGGAGATTGGCAACAGGACTAATTTTACTCAGGAAAAAAATATATACATATTCATAATTTGGTGTTTAAATGGTTAGTTTAGCTTTAAACGTACATTTAAAGTATCCACCCACTTTGATATATGAAAAGAAAAAGCTAAACTCTACCTAACTTCAGTCTCCAAATATAATTAAAGTCCACATGACATGGGTAGGAAAAGAACTTTCTAAGCTGTATATATGATGGTTTTTTCACAGCATGACGACCAGAGTGGGATGAGAAAAAGAACAGGAATTAGTACAGTATTTAGATCTTAATAACTTAATGCTCCAGTGAAATTGTCATCTTTCAGTAATTAGAAGCATAAAATCTTCTGGAGTTACCAATTTTTTCCTATTTTGTTTCTGTTCCATTATGACAGTTGGGGTAGAAAGAAGAGAAACAAGAAATCTAAAAAAAAAACTATGTCATCAAAATCAGATGTGTTCCACTTACATGAGGCATCTGGAATAGTCAAACTTACAGAGACAGAAAGTAGAACAGTGGTTACCAGCGGCTGGGGGAAGGGAGGATTAGAGAGTCAGTGTTTCATGGGTACGGGTTTCAGTTTGGGATGATGGAAAAGTCCTGAAGATGGATAGTCGTGATGGTTGCACAACAATGTAAATGTTCTTAACGCCACTGAATCGTACTCTCAAAAACAGTTAAAACGATTTCTTTAAAAAGTACCCTTCAAAGGGTACTTTGAAGCCCATTTCAAAAAAAATCAGATGTTCCAACCAACCACTTCTCTAAAGCACAAAACCAGATCAAGATTTCCTGCCTTATACAGTAGTATTAAGTTTCCAAATTCTCATTCATACTTTATCACCCAGAAAGCTTCATCTACATACCAACGGTATATAGAAATAAACAGGATGCCTTTTCTACATTTCTCTGATCCTTCACATTTGTAGTTTAGCAATTAATGTCCTTCAAAGACCAGGACTCCCTTCTGTGGTCAAAACAGCATCACCCTTAAAATTAGCCAGAGAATCTTATTATTTATAATAAAGTAATTTTATGAATAAGGGTCCAAGAAATGATATGGGGGGGTTTCATTTCACCAAGTTTATACTTACTGTAGAAGTACCAAGACTTCATGACTAGCTCTGTACTATCAATAAGGTACATGTAAATTTGCAGGGATTACATGATACATTTCAGTATGCAATGGCACCTTTTCTACAAATCTGTAAAGGGCTGAAAACACTCTCATAAGGCTGTGTGCCAACTCAACTTGTAGGATCCAAGACTTAGAAATGTGAAATTCTCCCACACCTACTAAGAAAAGCCCAGTGATCTTCTACATAGCTCTGATCCCATATACAGTTGCTAAGCCAAGTGACTAAAAAAGCATCATTCCATGGCTCAAAAGACTACGTTAGTGATAGATACCAAGTGACATCAAGCACTGGCTCACAAAAGGCAACTCTCTAATGACCAAGAAACCAACTTAGTTAAGACAGCTCCCACTAAAAATCTGACATATGTGAAGGGGGAAAGAAAGACTACGATCAAAGTAGCCTAACCACTGAGCTGGGTTGTGCACTGAAAATACCATACAATGGGCACAGTTCATTAATACACCATCTGGTGTCTACTGAGACACCATATAGATTAAACCTAATAAGAAGACAAATGTTTCCTTATCAAGCTCAAGTAGTCAAAAGATTACTAACACATTACAACATATTGTGACAAGGGCAAATATTCTCAAAGGAAATCTCAAAGGCAACACCACTGGTTAACATGTTGGGGTGCTTATATAGTTTAATCTTAAAAAAAAAGATCAATAAAATCTAAATATATCAATACAACCTTAGAAACAATTACCAACTCACTTAAATCATGATGATTTTAACCATTTTATTAACAGCATATATCAATAGTGATGGAAGGCTAATAGAAAATGTGTGCTCTAATAAATTACCTGTACTTAGAATTTAATTTCTGGAAAATGTACTAAGTATGGTAACTATTCAAGACAAACCTAGATAAAGTCAAAAAAAATTACAAATATCCTAAATAATATTTCAGTTCATTACACTTTGATTCACTAATTTCCTTAGCTCTTTATTCACTACCCAATAAAAATTATTTGAAACGACACAATTAAACATATTCCTGAAAGGGTATAGGTCAATACTGGCTAATCAGAACTTTCTATCTAAGCCAGCTGTGACAAGACCTGGTAAAGAAGATCAATTCTCACTCACAAATAATGAGTGCAGGCTGTCGTTCAATAGGATTGTATAGACTAATTGTGGTACCGATGATATCTCCAGTTAATTTCTGCATCAGGGATAATTTAGGACCACTCTAACAACAGAAATCCTAAACAATGCCAATTCCTAAATGTCCTCAACTCAAAACATTAGAACTCTGAAATATAGTGTATTCATTTATAATATTCCCACTCTATTTTAGAAAGTCTAATTTCTTCAAAGTAATATACCTAAGAGCAAATTAAAATCCAACACATAATATGCTCTATTTAATTTGATTCCATCAAGTACATGGGAATAAAAAATGTGGGTTTTTTTTGAAAAAATAAAGCCTGTGTAAAAACAATCCCAAATTACCTTCAGAAAAAAAGACTAACTGGCAATTATAAATTAATAAAACTAATAAAAACAGGGAGTGAAAAAAAGAAATGACAAAACCAACCCCTCCTCGCTGACCATCTACATGTATGGAACGGATGTGATCTGCCAGATCTGGACTAGAGTTGAAGCAAGCCTGGCACTGGTCCCAACAACAATTATAGGCAATATTTTTGCTTGAAGAAGTAGTGCTTCCTTGTCCATTCATCATTGCTGGAGTTGAACGCCCACTGGAAATTGTGCTGTCTACATCCATTATAGTACTGCTTATGCTACAAAAGAAGAAAAAAGGCTGTGTTATTCCTAGAAGTTCACTAACATGAATATGATCTTATAAATATTTAATTAAGATTACCACTTGATATTCTTGCTCCATACAAAGCATACTAACCATATTTTCCATAAGAAAACAAACTGCTTTGAAATTATTTAGTTGGCAATAAAGTACAAATCAAGGCAAAACAAAAAAAAAACACACTAGTACCTCAAAATCAGATATGGGATAATTTAAGTAACTTTTGGCAAACATGAACTCCCCTAGACCCTACAAAAAAACAAACACACACACATGCGCGCACACACACACATCCCCCCACATTTCGTCCCTGCCATAGTTCTAAGAAGCATGATAAAGTAATAAAGTAATAGTTTCCAGATGTAAATAATTGAGAATCAAAAGACTATCTTTACAGTTCTGCAAATGGCTTGTTGATCTGAAATCTTTCCTTCTATTCACCACCCTGAGAATACAACTGCAGCCACATCCCACCCCTTTCCATTTCAAAGAAGTTGGGAAATTTTGCTGTATTTTCCCTTCTAAATAAAAAAGCAGAAGAGAGAGAACTGGCTGTAGTAAAAGCTTTCTGATTTTACCAAAGTCCAAATAAAATGTCCTTTCCTGGCCCTCAATTTTTTTTTAACTAACCTCTATCCACCAAAAAAGACAAAATGCTGATGAATCTCCTTCACTTTTCTTCACCGAAGTATTACATATCATTATTATTTACCAAAAAATATACATATTAGTAGTAATAAAATAAAATTAAATAATTTTGAATGCTCAAAATTTCACATGTTAATAAAACATAATACACTTTTGTCTTCATTTTAAAAGCAAATTCCCTATTTTCTTTTTTCAATACCTCCCCAACAGAGAAACTATATGGGAGTAGTTTTAATCAAAGGGTCAACAGTAAGAACGTTTTTGGATTAAATCTATCAAAAGTTATATATCTGCTTGCAATTTAAGTACCAGTACATTATGAAAACTATATTAACTTTTAAGAGGTTACCTCCCTATCCCTGAGTTTTTACTATGGAAAATTTGAAAGACACAGAAAAGCGTATCTAAATCTACACTCAACAATTAACATTTTGCCCAATATGCTATATGTAATTTGTTTTTCTGAATCATCTGCAAGTTGCAAACAGGATACTTCAACCACAATTATTTCAGCACAAGCTTTCTAAATATAAAAACATTCACCTATAACCACGACAACCTTATTTGCTCACACCTAGGAATTAAACTGAATTTTAACTTAATTAAGCTTAATAATGATTTGCATCTAACATCAAATGTGCCCATTTTAAAAAGCAAACAGAAATGTTTTTGTAGGATGCTTCAGATATGAAAAACGTCTCAGATTTCCTTTTAAAGGATATTCAAGTATTTAAGTTTATCTGGCTATCTGTCAATATATAGATTCTAAATTTCAACTCTAAAACCTCATTCTAAAACTCTGGAATCTCTACAAAACTCTCAAATGTAAATCAGCTCTTGACTCTGAATATTTATTCATATATTGTTTGTTTTTGCAGTAATAAATTGTAGGGATGGTGGTTTCTCTATATTGAAACACGAATTTTATTTAAATCCTAAAAGTTTCAAGTTTCATGAGACCCTTAACCATGAAATGATTACCTATTTTCTTTATCACTTGCTTCATATATTTTAACCCTAAAGTTCATACTTTGGTAGACCATACTAATTAACTCAAAAGCAAATAATATAACAGTTTTAAGTGAACAACCAATCACACTCAATTTATAAACAATCTCAGGAAAAGAGATAAACCTCAATGACCTATTGTGGTATAACTTCCAAAGCACAGTTAAGTAAAACGCACACACAAAGTGCAGGGCGTCATGTTCCAATTTGCATCCCTACGTGGCGAAGGGAGACAGACACAGATATAGCTACCCTCTAAAGGCAGAATCTTTTCTGAAGGACCCACAGAACACTGCAGATGTTGTGGGAGAGGGGGAAACAGGAGAGAAACTGTCACTGTTTATGCCCTTTTGCATCCTTTTAACCACATACCTGTACTGCTTTTATTTTAAAGTCTAAAATTAGTTGAAATTGAAACCAAATCAGTTTTCTTTAAATTGGACAAAGTAAAGCAAATTCAAGAGACTCATATACTTGTGATAAATTCAACTAGCAATACAGAGTCTATCTTCATAGTGCTTAACATACTTTTGCTTATCAACTTTATCACAGAAGGGAAACTTACAAGTCCAAATATCCAGGAATACTAAACGTTGTTTCATCAATCTACGTTCACTATCATTCATTTGAAAAACAGTACTTCATGTGCATACAGATCTTCACAAAAGGACAGCATACTGCTGTGTTAAGAGGATGAACTTTGGGGCTGGCCCAACAGCGCACCAGTTAAGCTTGCAGGTTCCGCTTCTCAGCAGCACGGAATTTGCTGGTTCGGATCCCAGGTGCGGACATGGCACTGCTTGGCAAAAAGCTATGCTGTAGTAGGCGTCCCACATAAAGAGTAGAGGCAGATGGGCATGATGTTAGCTCAGGGCCAGTCTTTCTCAGCAAAAAATAGGAGCATTGGCGGTAGATAGCTCAGGGCTAATCTTCCTCAAAAAAAAAACAAAGAAAGAGGATGAACTTTGTCTACCATTGCAACTAAGCTGCAATGCAATGGCAAAGGAAGGGCAGGTCTGACGCCCTGGAAGACTCAAGAGACACCCCCCACATGCGCAGCTTCCCCCAAAGAGCCTCCCGTAGCCTTGCAGGGCCAACTGGAGTCCTGCTTCACAGCTCCTCTTAGGCTCCTCCAACTCCAGGAAGTGTCCAATTCTAAGCCTCCAGACTCCCTTTTGGCCCCAGATTCATGCTAGAATCAGTGGTTCTCTCTACCCTTTTTTTTTTTTTTTTTTTTTGAGGAAGATTAGCCCCGAGCTAACTGCTGCCAATCCTCCTCTTTTCGCTGAGGAAGACTGGCCCTGAGCTAACATCCGTGCCCATCTTCCTCTACTTTATACGTGGGATGCCTACCACAGCATGGCTTGCCAAGTGGTGTCATGTCCACACCCGGGATCCGAACCTGCGAACCCTGGGCCGCTGAAGCGGAACGTGCACACTTAACCACTGCGTCACTGGGTCTACTCTTAAGACTGATGAAGGCAACCATCCTGATGCAGGAGAGCACAAGAGACAAGTTACAGGTAATTTCTGATTGTGACAGGACCCTGAACTAGATACATATTTCACAGAAAGCAGTGTCCTTCTTCCTATAATAGAAAGATAACAAGATGACCAGAACTAGAAGGTGACATTCCACCTGATCTTATAATACTTCTAGGATTATACATATACTAAAATTTTTCACTCAGTTAATTCTCCTTTCCAACGAACACAGTGATTCTGTAAACTGTGAACAAAAGCAGCCTGTTATTTGGAAGAAAACCTAAGCCAGAAAAAAGTACTCACAGTATTCAGATTGTTTCAATAATCTAAAGAAGCACTTCTCAAGCTAATATGTATATAAATCACCTGAGATCTTATTAACTGCAGATTCTGAACTCAGTGGGTTTGGGGCAGGGTCTGAGATACTGTATTTTTAACAAGTGCCTACATGCTGATGACGCCGCTCCGACACTTTAAGTGGCAAGACTCTGAAGGATCTCTTTCACTATTATGAGATTGACCAGACTCCTAAGATACCAGACTATCTAAGGAACTATCTCATACTGTAGAATGATAAACTAAAGCATACACACACATACACACATACACATACACACACACATTGACAAGAGAAAATCTTAAGTTTAAAAAAAAAAACACAAATTCTTAGAAATTCCAATGCAGTATCTGGGGGAGACATGAAAATTTTCAACATAACAGCATCCCCCTTTTCCACAGGCCTTGTTAAGAAACTATCTGGCAGACCAGAGTTTTCCACTCCAACATCTACAGTAACTAACTACATGGATTTTATGAACACAGTTTCCTTTGGGAATTCAAGGGCCAACTCACTGATACATACAAGAACACAAATTACTTCAAAGCAAAATATCTGCTTGGTGGATGTGACCACGGCTGACAGGGTTGCCAACAATGAGAAGTACAGATCAGCTTGCTAAGTGACAAGATACAAGAGCAGAGGAAGTAATAACATAGATGCTACATTACCATGATGGAGAAGGACAAGAACCTGGTCTTACTGTAAGAGAGTAAGAAAAGATCATGGATATGGTTTCAGATCTCCACATGGCAAACAATCTTTAAAACACTATCACTCGTCAAGTTTGGCGTATTATCAAATAGGCATGCAATTATCTAAAAAGGTTACTAAAATACTCCTTCCTTTTTCAAGCAAATATCTGTATGAGGCCCGATTTTCTTCACATAGTTCAACCAAAGCAACGCACTGCAGCAGACTGAACGCAGAAGCAGATGTGAGAACCTAGGTGCAAGCCAGACATTAAAACATTAAATAGAAACCAGTGTCACCCTTCTGTTTTTGTAACTTGGAAAGTTATTTTGCATTTAAAAACATACTGTTTATGTTACATATAATTGGTTTATTTTTACATTAATAAATGTTTTTTAAAGTTCTCGGTTTTAATTTCTAATCCTGTAATAGCGATAAATAAAACCCACATAAACAAAAGCTCTTTGGTTTCTTCAATAGGAGTTTGTTTTTGGTTTTGTGTGTGTGTGTGAGGAAGACTGGCCCTGAGCAAATGGACTGTTGCCAATCTTCCTCTTTTTGCTTGAGGAAGATGGTCCCTGAGCTAAGACCTGTGCCAGTCTTCCTCTATTCTGTATGTGGGACACGGCCACAGCACGGCTCGATGAGTGGTGTGTAGATCCGTGCCCAGATTCCAAACCTGTGAACCCTGGGCCGCTTAGGCAGAGCCCACGAAGTGAAGCAGTGTGCCTCCGGGCTGGCCCCTCAGTATCTTTTTTAACAGCTTTATTGAGATATAATTCATATTCTTCAACGTTTAAAAAGCA